TGGACCCCTGCATGAGGGGCTTGCTGACAGAGGGTCTGGAGGGACTGGACAGTACCAGCTCACCAGGGAGAGTCCTGTGACAGCGGACTGAGGGGGGCAGACTTTGTCTCTGAACATGCATGTGTGACAGACAGGTAATTTATGCAAAGATAATAATGGCTGCTGTATCAGTAACTAAGAGTGCACACATGCTTCTCTATGACATGTTCAGTTTCTTTAGTGTATTCAACAGCAGCTTTAAAGCCAAGTCTGCACACATTGAAAATGTTAGATTTTGAGGCTCACCTGTAACTGAACTGCCACTTACAGTCATAGAAACTGACAGCTTAAACGCCTCAGCCAGCTACAGCTGCACTCAGAGTATGTGAAGGTGTATTTGTCTCAGTTTGCAACAACTTCACCACCATCATCTTCAACTCTTTTCCAGTCAAAGGATCAAATAAAGGTAACTGAGAGATCCAACTTTGAAGCCATGTAGCTATGATATTATGATCTTAGCGCTGATTGCTCGGGTTCAGGATGGCGCGTATGAACACGGTTTGATATATTTGACTGGACTTCAATAATTTCTTGGCAAAAAGATCTGTGACTTCACAATAAAAATGTGAAACTGAGTTGTGCTTTCCAAAGCGTGTGGGTTCAGACACTACGCGCACCATTTCCAGCTTTGGACCAAACCTCAAAAAACTCATCCTAAAATAATATGAGAGGAAAAAGGTAAAGACAGCATACAAGTGTACACAGAGTGAATTATGAGTTTTAATTAAGTACAGTAAAAGGCAAATCTAATACTGGATGCATGAGAAACAGTCTCCTAAAATGACATTGTTGTCTCACACATAAAACTCTCAAGCGCGTATATGACGACCTAACAGGGCGAGTTGGCGGTAGAATTTGAGTATGCATCTGGGAAAGGGAAGGAATTCGACCTCTGACACAGTCCAAAAAATGTTGCTGCATTTATTCTTTGGCTGATAGTTTAATGTTCTTTTCCCAAAGACTTGTAGCTTCTATTTTCTTTTCGGTTGAAGAATGAGGAGGCCAATATTCCCCATCATTAGTAGGACAAGGAGTAACTTTATGTGACCTGCTGTGAAATCAGGTAGGCAGCAAAGCCCTGCAGGAAGCACAGAGGGAAGTAGTCTGCATCATCATGGGTTTTTTAAAGAAAATATGACAGGCAGGCACACGCAGGTGGAAAGACTAACATCAAAACAGATGGTCACACTGTCTGTCTAATACACCACAGTGGCAGGGAGCAGGTATTTACATACAGCAACAGATATTTGAATAGTTTATTGTCAAACTTTCCAGACAGCGTCGAGCCATAAAAAACAATAAAAATGACAGAGTTTAACAGCTCACAAGCACAGCAGAAGCGAGATATCCAAGAGTGAGACGTGTTTTCACGGGGAAAAATGTGACATAAGATTTATACCAGCATTAAGAACTGCTCACTAATAACTGCAATAATGCACATTGACCTGAGGAAATTTGTAATTGAGATGAAACTAAACCAATTTTCTGTATATTGATCAGCAAGGAAACCCTGCACGCACTCAATGAAAACAAACCTGTGGTACATGCGCACAACTAGAACCAAGACTACAAACAGATCAATACAACCCACAACCTAAGATTAAGAATAATGGATCGTTCTCGGAGCTAAGCTCAAATAAAGTCATTTCTCGAGACTCATATACTATAGTTTTAATAAATAAAAGAATAAAATAAACTCTAAATGCATCCTTCTGAAAAACAAAAAATCTGGGTTTAAGCTGCTGCTGATGAAAGTGTGCACAAGTATGTAACAGTCCTTGTGAGCTCATTTTCAGTGTGGGGGAGGGAACAGGCATATTGACAACATTGGAAAATTCCTATTGATTATTCGTCTTTTCTCTGAGCACCGGCTTGTTAAAAAAGGGCCCTCTTGGAAACACGATCAATTAGTGAGATAGTGCTTACCATTGATCACCCCAGTGCCCCTCACAAGACTCCTGCCTTACAATGGATCCCTCCACACACTCTATATGACCAACTATTGATCTCAGCTTCTTAGCCAAATATAAAAGCACACACCCAGAGCTGACCCCCCCC